TTTCCTATAAAAGTTCACACTAGGTATGTTTCTATGAGGAGTCATATCACACAGCCCACAGTAAGATGACACTTCATTCAATCTATTCTTAGGAACAATGTAAAAATACGTATGTGGTGAGATTAACAATTTTCTTATTTGAACTCTGAACACCAAAGCTGACAGCCTCCTCCCTCTTCAGATGTTTGAAATCCTTTATGTAAAAGCCTAATTTAAACTTTATAGTAATAGATAATATTTTTAAATATGATGAGATTTAAATATATCAGTCCCAAAATGTTTATTAAAAGCAAATAATGTTTTTCTTCATGTTTGAAAAGTAAAAAATATTAATACAAAGTTGGTTCTTATACCATAAGTCTTCTTCTATTAACTTGTTTATCTCCGTGTTTCTCCTTTACTTCATTTCCCAATTTTTGCATAAGCTGGTACAAAAAAACATTATCCACTTCCCACAAATGATGGTACCATTAAATAATATTCTGACTTATGGTGTCAGTGGAATTCTATTTTGATAGCCTGCTTCTTATAAGAGTAGAAGGGGATAATTATATTACCTATCATTTAAGTTAAGGCATCACACAATTACCACTTTGCATTTATTTTCCTTGAATTAATACAATTAAAATATATGTAATTCTTATTTCAATTTGACTACACCTATCATGACAGCTAATCCAAAGATAAAAATTAAATAGTTTGTTAGTATACATGAGGATAAAACCATGGCAATATGACAGGGTGTGGCTCTAACAAGTACTTCCTGTACATAAAATAAAGACCAGTTCTATATCTGGTCTTCAATCCAGGTCTAACTTTTCCTTAGTTTATTTTTGTAGTCTTTTAACTGTTAAGTGATATGAATTATTTTGGCTTATGCATTACATAAGCGCCATCCATAAAACTTGTTCTGGTATGTATCAAGGACCATAAAAATAATCACTGTTGGATCTAGAAATTTCACCCCTAAAAATATATCCTAAGGAAATAATTCCAAATGTAGGGAAAGCTATATTCAAAAATACTTTCATTGTATTACTTAAAATAGTAAAAAATGGAAACAAGCTAAATATTAAGATGAGAGTGACTGAGTAAATTATAGTAAACTAGTTGATAGAACTTTTTTATAGCAATTGAAAATGATGAAAGATGGTATATAAAAAGCAAGGAAGATGATTGTCGTTATTTTTATTTAAATAATTTTTACTATAAAAAGTTTATATTCCATTAAAGGAAATAGGAAAATAAGGACAATAGAAAAAAGAAAAATAATAATAATATTCGGGGGGAAAAGCAGACTACTCAGTTGTATCTGTGATATGATTAAAATTTTTGTTAAATAATAGAGCAATAATACTTGAAAGTTGTTTTACAGGGTTTTATTTTCTTATCAGATATATGTAGCATAATTTGTAATATATTCTTATTTATATTATTATTTATAATATACGAATAATATAGCATAATTTCTTATATGTTTATATTTAAAACTCAGAAACCCTCATTGGAACATTGGAACCCTCTTGCTGCCGAAATGCACAGGTAAAGAGTGCAAATTAAAAGATTGCTCCAGCGGGCATGGTGGCTCATGCCTGTAATCCCAGCACTTTGGGAGGCCGAGGCAGGTAGATCACGAGGTCAAGAGTCAGCCTAGCCAACATGGTAAAACCCCGTCTCTACTACAAATACAAAAATTATCTGGGCATGGTGGTGCATGCCTGTAATCCCAGTTACTCAGAAGGCTGAGTCAGGAGAATTGTTTGAACCCGGTAGGTGGAGGTTGCAGTGAGCACAGATCATGCCACTGCACTCCAGCCTGAGCAACAGAGAAAGACTTCATCTCAAAAAAAAAAAAAAAAAAAAAAAAAAAAGATTGCTCCACAGTCTTGCATGGTTAGGTACCAGTATTTCAACTTCACAGGTGAGAAACAGGCTGGAAGTTGAGCTAACTTACCCAAGGTCTCAAAGCTGGTACTAGCAGAACAGAGATTGACAATCACATCTTACTAGCTTTAAAATGCCTAAACTCTTTTTTCCCTTCCTGGTATCATCATGGTGAGAATCAAATTAGGCAAACATAGAAATGTATGCTGGAAATGGGGGTATTGCCCCCCCTAGGGTTTCAGGATCACCCACTTTTCCCATGCCGTCCCGCAAAGGACAGAGATCATAATTGTAAAGCTTTGTGAAAAAATAAAGAAGAGACTGGTAATATCCTGTTACAATTTTCTTTTTGAAAATGTCTCAGCCAGGCACAGTGGTTCACGCCTGTAAACCCAGCATTTTGGGAGGCTGAGGCAGGAGGATCATTTGAGGCCAGGAGTTTAAGACCAGCCTAGGCAACATAACGAGACTCCATCTCCACCTTTTTTTTTTTTTTTAAGTGTCTCAAATCTTCTGTTGTAGGGAAATTCTGATCTATGAGAGGCTGCTTGAAATAAATGGGCTACTGGCCAAGGCTTGGAAATGTTTGTGGTATGAGAAAGTCAGTTATTATTTGGCAGCTACAGATACATTATTATTGCTATTTAGAAACAATTAGTAAATTACTGAAAAGTCAGTAAAAGTAAAATTATTTCTTTGGAAAGACCCTATTTACAGAAAATTATGCCTCAGGTATGCATTTTGCTTACCATTAGATCTATTTCAGTTCCAAAGGAATATATGGAGAGAGAGGGAGTCTTTGTAGCTTCTAAAAATGTTCATGAAGGAGTGGCTTACTCTCTTTGCCCTTAGTTTAACAGAAGCAAGAGGTAGTTAGGAGAAGCAGGAAGTCAGAGGTGGGTTCATTGTATCATTATTTCTAGTCCTAGCTCTTCACTGTTCCTTGGCAAGTTTCTTAACCTCTCTGGGTTCCCCTCTTCTTACCTTTCTTCTATTCTTCCCCAAGTGTGGGAGTCACACTTCAACACTGTACATCCAGGAGTGTTGTGTTGTTAAAAAGTATTGTTAAATACTTTTTAAACGTGTTGAATACCTGTTAAATACTTTTTAAACATGTATTTATTTGAGTTAGTACTACATACACATGGTTCAACATGTAAAAGATATAAAGGGAAATTCAGTGCCATCTCCCTCCCACCTGCTCCTCTCTGTGTGTCCCTGTTCCAGTTCTCAGTTTTCTTTTTCAAACTCAGAAATCCCAAGAGTCTGTGAAGGGCAAATGAAAAGCAAGATGACTAGACTAAATCTGAATGAAAGGAGTTTATTCTAAGGTGATACTGCTCACTGCTCAAGGTGCTTATCTGCCCCCTTCAGGGGCTCCCTCAAGTTTTCTGAGACTTCAAATAGCAACACTCAACTAAACTATAAAATAGTCACCACACCTTTTCAAGAAATTTTGACTTTGAACTTGCTAATGTGCAAAGGAAATAGTCCAACCATTTCTCTAGAACTTGGTTGATAAGAAATTTCATTTTGTCCCATTTATAACTTCATTCTAAAATTTTGTTTTTGTTTTTTTTCTGCTATCGAGTAGGAGAGAAGGGAATACGGGAAAGATTTGTTTTTGTACTACTGTGAGATTTTTATACCTTAGGCCAAGACAAAGCACACAATAAATAAAGTATTAACAAAATGTCCTTAATTTTCCTTTCTGACCAAGATTGCTTGCCTCTGCAATTATATATAAAGAAGGGATGTGTTGAGCAAATGAAGTAGGACAGCTAGGCAGACAAGATGTGCCCAGCGCCTGGCATACAATAGGGGCACAGGCCATTGCTTAACAAAACGTGTAATTTATGAAAACATGCTCGAAGCACTGCTATACTAACCAAATATTCCCTGCAAAATTTTAAATTTACAATGCAAAATAAGAATAATTTCAAAACTATTTCTAGAAAAAGAGCTTTAAGGGCTTCCTCCCCATAACAATTTAAGATTAACCTAAAACATGGTAGTTATTTTGCAAGAACTGGAGAGCACCAATCCCTTCTCCTTGTGTGTGTCTGACATTGGAGGCTTATTGTGCACGAAGTTGCGATCAAAATCCAACTCGATTCATTTTGAAAAGTAACATGACTACAACATCCATCCACTCCAATGAGCAAAGGGTGTAGGCTTTGAGTATATACAGCAGGCCACACACTATAGGTCATGGCATACAGTCTAGCGCTGGAGGTTGCTGCATTTGTTCATGTAGCTATGAGCTAGGTTTTAAGTTTTTTCTCCCTGTTCTTTAATAGAATTAATTAATTAACCCCACTCATTTACTTACTCAGTTCACAGCCTTTTAAGAGCCTGCCTAGGACATAAAGATGAAGATCCAGTGCCTACCCTCATGAAACATACAATCCAAGCGAAGAAGGCTTACTTTGAAATAGTCATCAAGTTGTGCTTTTATGGCGCTTTACTGCTCCCGCCAGCACCCACTGCCAGGGTATGACCTCACGCGGTGGCAGAGTCCGCGTGCGAGGTCCCGCTCTCCCTGGCTTGCCCCGGCAGGGCGGAGTCAGCCGAGCAGCCGCCGGCGCTGCCCCCGCGCGGCCTTTAATTTCGCAGTTCAGACCACCGGAAATTAGTCGAAGGCTGAGCGGACCCGGTCGAGAGCCGGCGAGCTCCGCGCGGGGAGGGTGCGCCCACCGGTCCCGTCGGGCGCCCGCGGGACGCGCCGCCAGGGCCCTCTGCGCCGGGGGCTCGGCGCTCGCCCACATCTTCCAAATTTAACCATTACCTAAATCCAAAGGGAAATGAGCAAACCTCTCGGATTGGGTGTCAAGGTATTTTCAGCCTCGTTGGGCGTATTTATCCCCAAGTGTTTCCACAACAAGCTATTTCGGGGCCGCGGGGCAGGTTTCGCTCTGCGGACGCCGTGGCCACTTGCCGGGCTCCAGGCCGGCGGCACCGCGGGCCGGTGATTCACGGTCCCGACCCGGGGGTGGTGCAGCCCTAGGAGGCGGCGGGGTAGGGCAGGGGGAGCGGGTGACCGAGGCCTGAAGGGCGGGGAGGGTCCTCGGAGCGGGGCGCCCCCACCCCTCTCTTGCCAGTCAATCTGTGTCCTGAATCTGTGGCTTCTCTCGCTGCGGAAGTCTCCCTGGAGCCAAGAATAGTTGATTTTCTTTCGAGTCATTTCTAGTGCCTGAGTGTACGGACCTCCAGTTTCCCCCATCCCCTGTCGACCCACAGGGAGAGAACTGGGAGGACGACTAAGGGGCGCGCGGGACGGGCTGGAAAGGCCAGGTCCCCCACCCGCCTGACCACTTGCGCAAAGGAGCGCGCTCGGTCGCCCGACGGGGGTTGGGAGCAGGTCTGGGAGGGCTATGCGAGCGATTCAGTAACGCTCAGGAAGTGAAGCTTGTGGTTTTGGGGGCTGAGCTCGGAAGGAGAATTTTTTTTTTTTTAAGTCAGAGAGACAGAGCAGTCTCTCCCGAAAGCAAGATTCCGTTTGAAAACTCTCCTAGCGCGGTGCCCGCGCCCTGACCCCGCAGGTAGGTCCGCCGAGCCTGTTCTGCGCCTCCTGCCCTGGTGGGGGCGGCCGCGGGGACTCGCGGAGCGCTGGCGCTGCGGGGGCGACCTGAGGACGCAGGCGGGTTCTCACCTGCTGTGGACCGCAGTGCGGGAGCCCGGAGAGCTCCGGCAGCTGGGTTAGGACGCGACCCGCGCAGCGAGGCTGGAAATCTGGAGCTGGGGGCGCGCAGCAGGCGGTCTGGTGGTTCGGCAGGGGAGCCAAATCCACCCGGGAAGGAAACATCTGGTGGGGAGGCAGCGGCAGCTGCGCTCGGGAGGCCGCCCCCTTAGCGCCCTCGGCTCCCGCCTTCCCGGGCCCGGACGGTGAGGAGAGGCCTGAGCGCGCGGAGGGGCCGCCCCACCTCCCGCGCCAGCTGCAGCGCGGGGTTGCCTTCCCACGCGCTCGGCCCAGGCCCCGGGGCCCCTGTCTCCTCCAAACTCTGTCCCTCCCCACAGGAACCAGCAAAGCGGGCCGGGGTGCGAGAGAGGCGTGGGCTTACAGCCCGGGTGGGAAGGCGGCCTCCGCGTCCGCCTGGTCTCTCGTGGCGCCAGCCCAGACCTAGCTCTGGCGCTGACAGCTACCCCGACCCCATCTGTCCAGCTCCCAGCCAACGTGGGTCCAAGCCGCAGCGGGACCCTCGGGACAACGCCACTCCGTTTTTCTTTTCTTCCGAGTTTCGCGGCTGTTTAAAGAATTGGGTTTGGGGTTTGTGGCGTCTAATTGTACGGATGAGAAGTGCAGGAAGCGGCAAAGCTCTAGCCCTGGGAGTCAACTCGGAGGGAGGCGGATGGCACCCTCACCCCTAGGGTATTCGGGCGCTTGGGTAGCGGGAAACGTCGCTGGTGCCCCGCGACACGTCCCAGGCGTCTTTTCTCCCAGGTCTACTTCCATTCCTCCGGAGAAGGGGACACAATGGGGCTGGGGATCTGGGGCAGGGGGCCTGCACCCTACAGGGACCAAGGCCCCTAGGTAGGACTCATTTTGAGCTGAGAGCGCCAACGGACAGACGTAGACTGTGTGGCCCGCATCTTGCCTAGGAAGCCGAGCGGCTCCTAGTCCGGCATTGGAAACGGCGCGAAGCCGGAGGACTGCAGGTCTTGCCCCGGCCCAGAGTTCCCAGCACCCTCATTTCTGAACCAGCCAAGGCCACGGAGAACTGCTGTATTGCAGCTCACGTGTGAACCAGGTCCCTATCGCCTTCACCCCGGGAGGAAGGCAGATTCGTTTACCCCAGACCACCTCGACTGTGGAGTCCCGCCCCTGGAGCCGGCTGGAGCCTAGTGGCAGGCGCAGTCACGCCCTCCCGCTGGGCTCAGATTTCGACCTGGTATTAGGTGAACTGATTGGGGGTTAATGAGAGCGACGCCCCGGGCAGCTAGTCCCCTCCTAGGCCCGAGCCCGACCCCTGCTATCTGCCAATGCAGCCTGCGCGCTCTGGCGTCCTGTCTTATTTGTCTGCTAAATTATCGGTGCACTACCGACTCGGGACACCTAGCATTTCCCAGTCAACGTTCGCGGATCGGGCTCCACTTCCCTAGGACAAGATTTTTTGGTGAGCAGAAAGGAAAGTGCTTTTTCCCAGGACCTGATTCCCGAGGTTAGGTTTCCACGGTCGGGGATGGCTCGCCGCAGCCTCGACCGGTGCCCGCCGCACCCGGGAGTCCGGGGCCAAAGTTTCTCCTACGTGGGGCACGAGTGAGGGGCGAGTGAGATCACCGGATGCGAGTTTCTCCCGGGGCGGGGGTTGGTCCTCTGTTACTCCCCTCACTTTCCTGTCCCTTTGCTCTCCCACCTCCTTTCTCTGGCCTCTGCTGTCCCCAGTCCCTCTGCTGCTGTTCCCCCCGCCGCCCCACAGTTTTATCTTGTGTTCCGTTCCCCCCCACCCCCCGCCCTTTCACTCCAGTTTGTAGCTGGGTCTTGGATGTCTTGGCTCCTTGCCCCTTCCGGGTCCTCGACCACTGGGCATCCCCGGCCCCTCAACCGATCCGCGTGTCCCCGCCCTCCCTCGCCAGCCGTAAAGCACAGCCAGGCAGGCACTGAGTAGATGAGTTGGGGTAACCTACCCGATGGGAACTACGGCTTTCCAGAGAGTTTGATTGCCAGAGCGAACTTGGCTAGGAAAGGGGAGGAGCTGGGGGGCGTGGGCAGGGAGGAGGAAAGGGGCCTGAGCCAGGGCCCAGGGACAGGTTTTACCGCTGAGCTGTGTCAGTGGCGGCAACGACGGCGGGTTCGCGCCACCTGTCCAAGTGCCACCTGGTAAGCGCGGCGCAGCGGGGCCAAGCCCCTCCTCCCGTGGGCCCTCTGCGCTCCTCCCTGGCCCGCGCTCTCCCTCCGCCTGGGTGCCCAGTCCCCAGCACCGGAGAATACTGACCCGCGTTTCCACCCGGTTTTCTTTCCCTCTCAGGTCTTCGCCGGGCTGGGGCTAAGCAAGCCCTCGGAGTGACCGTGGGTGACAGCGGCTCCAGGGACTCTTGGGGCACAGTGGGGAAAGCGCCGGACCACCATGCCGCGCTCATTTCTCGTCAAAAGCAAGAAGGCTCACAGCTACCACCAGCCGCGCTCCCCGGGATCAGACTATTCCCTCCGTTTAGAGAATGTACCGGCGCCCAGCCGAGCAGGTGCGAGGCGCGCGCGGGCCAGGCCGGGCTGCTCCCGCAGACACCGACTGCACCTCGACACACCATTAGTCGGGAGCTGGGAGGGGCTGCCCCAACGTCCCCTTTGCGGCCGTTTTTGTTTCCTATTGTGCTGGTTCCTCCGGGTTTGTCTCCTAGGTGCCACGGCCTCTCTGCGTCTGCCCTCGGATCCGAGAGAGTTCCCGGCCGGGGTCTGGGTGGAGAGGGAAAGATGCTCGGGTGCCCTGGTAGGGGGTTTGGGGGAGCCTTCAGAACCCTCAGACTCAACCGGTCGCAGCCTGAGCCCCTCACCTGCCTCCTCTCTGCAGACAGCACTTCAAATGCAGGCGGGGCGAAGGCGGAGTCCCGGGACCGTTTGTCCCCCGAATCGCAGCTGACCGAAGCCCCAGACAGAGCCTCCGCATCCCCAGACAGCTGCGAGGGCAGCGTCTGCGAACGGAGCTCGGAGTTTGAGGACTTCTGGAGGCCTCCGTCACCCTCCGCGTCTCCAGGTAGGAACCCACTGGGAACCTCTGGGGCGGGAGCTGCAGGGACCCGGCAGTGCTGGGGAAATCGGGGCGACCTTGGGCGTAGATATGCTAACGGGGAGTTGGAGAGTCTTTCCAGGAGGAGGGAGCTGATTTGTAGGGAAAGGAGGCATCTGTCTTCTCTGGGACCTGGACAGCTTGCCCGCTGGTGCTGCTGCCTCCATCCCAGGCGGAGGGAGCCTAGCTGCTCGTCGCTTAGATTCGTTTGCGCGGAGCTGGCCGGTGAGGGAAAACAAACCAGTTGTTTCTACTGGCAGCAACGCCGACCTTTCATTTTCTGACCAGATTTGATTGTTTTATAAAGTGCTAGGATCCTGCAATCTAGACCCCAAACCTCAAACAAACGGAGACCAGGGCAGAACTGGCCAGGCAGAGGAGTTAGGCGCTGGGCGGCAGGGAGGGGGCAGGACGAAAATCTCAGCCCGCGGCTTGGTCTTCACAGGCGCAGATTGGGGGCCTGTTTCATTTTTCGTTTTGCCAGACTAACCCAGCCTCAGGGGCCTGCTCTCTGGGTTTCATTTCCAGCGAGCAATCCAGCTTCAGGCAAACTGCACGTTGGGTGGGGGCGTCTTGGGTCCCGGCCTGGGGAAGGAATGATCAGACCAGCCGGATTCTGTCAAGGGCCGGTTATACCCAGAACATGTTTGCTAGTGTTAAAAGATACCACCACCCGTCCCACAATCAGTGAGTTGACTTGGCGAAAACCATAGCTCCAGCAAATGTGTCTGGGAGCCGGCGGCGGGAGGATTCTTCCTGGCAGGGCGTCAAGTGGCCGGGCAAGGATTGGGCGCGCCCCGAACCATCCGAACGAAACTCCGGGTACAGCCTCTCACTAAAGTGGCCAGCCTGAACTGGAGAGAGTGTGTGTGTGTGTGTGTGTGTGCGTGTGTGTGTGTGTGTGTGTGCGTGGGCCCTCTGCGCTCCTCCCTGGCCCGCGCTCTCCCTCCGCGGGAGAGTGCGCGCGCGCGCGCACACACACACACATTTGTAAATGCTGTATGCACTCACATGCATTGGGGTCACTAGTTTTAGCAAAATTCACGTGGGTGGGGGCGTAGCAGGCCGCTAATTCAGAGAGCCGTCTCCTTGCAGGTGGTGGCTAAACCTTACGAGTTATACAGTTATTCTCTGAGAAATTCGGGTTCCCCACCTCCATCAAACTATAACAGGAATGGGGAGTATCTGGCTGGCAATTTAAGCCCAAAAGCCCCTTTCCTGCTGCACCTTTGCTACGTACACTGGGCACTTCGTGAAATCTTAATACCTTCGGGTTTATTCAGATGCCAGCCTTTCGGGTAGTTCGGGGACGCATTTATGGACCCTCTACCTCCTTCCTTGTGGATTCTGGGAAGAAAAAGAATTGAGTGGGAACATGTAGGGGCTGGGAGAGTGCCTGCGCTGGTGGCTGGACCCTTCCGCCCCTGAGTGCTGTGCGGGGCCGAACGGCCTTCTCCTCCCTAACAGCTCAACTCCGGGCATTTATAGACGTGCCCTTCCCTATAGGATCTCCAGGTGCGCGCGTCCAGCCAGAAAAGATCCTCGGAACGTCGAGCGCTTCCGCTGCCCTCGCATAGAATTTTCCTCTCCCGAGGTCTTTTCAATGATCCGTTTGCTGCTCTGCCTTCTATAGTGGCCCGCGAGGCCCCAGGGCCCGGGCTGCGTTTTACCCTGGGGCGCGCCTGGCGCACGCAGTGTTCTACAAGCGCTGGGTGCCCCGCAGTCCGCGAACACGCCACGCCCGCAGCCGCAGCCCGGCGGCCTCCGCTCTGCGGTCTGAAGCCTGACCGGACGCTCCCTTGTGCCTCCACAGCCTCGGAGAAGTCGATGTGCCCATCGCTGGACGAAGCCCAGCCCTTCCCCCTGCCTTTCAAACCGTACTCATGGAGCGGCCTGGCGGGTTCTGACCTGCGGCACCTGGTGCAGAGCTACCGACCGTGTGGGGCCCTGGAGCGCGGTGCTGGCCTGGGCCTCTTCTGTGAACCCGCCCCGGAGCCGGGCCACCCGGCTGCGCTGTACGGCCCAAAGCGGGCTGCCGGCGGCGCGGGGGCCGGGGCGCCAGGGAGCTGCAGCGCAGGGGCCGGTGCCACCGCTGGCCCTGGCCTAGGGCTCTACGGCGACTTCGGGTCCGCGGCAGCCGGGCTGTATGAGAGGCCCACGGCAGCGGCGGGTTTGCTGTACCCCGAGCGTGGTCACGGGCTCCACGCAGACAAGGGCGCTGGCGTCAAGGTGGAGTCGGAGCTGCTGTGCACCCGCCTGCTGCTGGGCGGCGGCTCCTACAAGTGCATCAAGTGCAGCAAGGTGAGGCTCACGAGCTCACCACCTCGACTGCCCTGCACCTGCTTCCCCTACCTGGGCCTCACCTGCGCCCCTCGGCCCCTCTCAGCGGCCTTCTCTCCGGCCCCACCCGCCTTAGGTGTTCTCCACGCCGCACGGGCTCGAGGTGCATGTGCGCAGGTCCCACAGCGGTACCAGACCCTTTGCCTGCGAGATGTGCGGCAAGACCTTCGGGCACGCGGTGAGCCTGGAGCAGCACAAAGCCGTGCACTCGCAGGTAAGCGCGGGGCACACCGCCCGCCGTGCGCGGCCCTGCTCAGAGATCTTCTACATCTCCCCGGTGCAGCACCAGCCACCCTCTGCCTGGAAGTTCTCTTCCCAACTTCCCCCAGTTTCCTCCCCCAACCTCTCCGCTACGTCCCCTTGCCCTGGTGCATGTGTGTAGGGAAAGGAGGATCGTGGCCGGCTCAGGCCTTGAGGCAGCCCTAGATTTTGGTGTCACACCACGGTGAGCCTCGAGAGTGTGATCCTCATTGTTACTTTGGGCTTGAGGTAGGTTTATATGCACTGATTCGTGCTGCTGATATATCAGACTTATTAGCTCTATTTCTTTGTGCCTGTTCTTTTCACCAAATTGTTGTCACTTAATTTGCATTGACCCCTCTCGACTGAAAAGGCGGGAATCTCAGCTCATTTAGAGCATCTAGTAGCATATTTACCCCGCTATTCTTTCCTCCCTCCCTCCCTCCCTGCCTGCCTTCTTCCTTCCTTCCTTCCTTCCTTCCTTCCTTCCTTCCTTCCTTCCTTCCTTCCTTCCTTCTTTTCTCTTTTCTTTTCTTTTCTTTTCTTTATGTTCTTTCTTTCAGAGTCTAGCTCTGTTGCCCAGGCTGGAGTGCAGTTGCACAATCTCAGCTCACTGCAAACTCCCCCTGCCAAGTTAAAGTGATTCTCGTGCCTCAGCCTCCTAGGTAGCTGGGATTACAGGCGCATGCCACTATGGCACAGCTAATTTTTGTATTTTTAGTAGAGACGGGATTTCGCCATGTTACCCAGGCCGGTCACGAACTCCAGGCCTCAAGTAATCCACCCGCCTGGGCCTCCCAAAATGCTGGGATTACAGGCGTGAGCTACCATGCCCCACCCCTGCTATGTATTCATTCATTCATTAATAAACATTTGTTGCCTAACTTCTAGGTGCCAAGTACTTAAGAATCTTACAGCACATCAGGTCCTTGACAGCATGCCCACATGGAGATCATAGTTTAGCTGAGAGAAGGAGAGTAGATGAGCAAGTAAATATACCAACAGATATCTCAGGAGAATGCCTACTTGTAGCTCAAAAGAGTATCAGTCCATGGCGGGGCATGGTGGCTCAAGCCTGTAATCCCAGCACTCTGGGAGGCCGAGGCGGGTGGATCACAAGGTCAGGAGTTCCAGACCAGCCTGGCCAAGATGGTGAAACCCCGTCTCTACTAAAAATACGAAAATTAGCTGGGCGCGGTAGCATGTGCCTGTATTCCCAGCTACTTGGGAGGCTGAGGCAGGAGAATCGCTTGAACCTGGGAGGCAGAGGCTGCAGAGAGCCGAGATCATGCCACTGCACTCTAGCCTGGGTGACAAAGTGAGACTCCATCTAAAAAAAAAAAAAAAAAAAAAGAGTATCAGCCCGTCTCCCCCAGCACCCACACTGGCTGGGGGGAGGTGGCATCTCAAGTGACTGAGGTCTAAGCCTCCTGTTGAGGAGGGTGGAGAAGTGTGTGCTAATGGGTGTCAAAAAAAGCAGGGTGTGGATATGTTTTTGCCATGGGGTGTGGAAGGTTGTGGGTGAAGAACATTTTGGTAGAAAAAGTGTTGAAGGGCCGGGCATGGTGGCTCACGCCTGTAATCCCAATACTTTGGGAGGCTGAGGCGGGCGAATCACTTGAGGCCAGGAGTTTGAGACCAGCCTGACCAACATGGTGAAACCCCATCTCTACTAAAAATACAAAAATTAGTCAGGTGTGGTGGCGTGTGCCTACAGTCCCTGCTACTCAGAGGGGCTGAGACATGAGAATTGTTTGAACCTGGGAGGTGGAGGGTGCAGTGAGCTGAGATCGTACCACTGCACTCAAGCCTGGGCAACAGAGGAGACTCTGTCTCAAAAAAATAAAGAAAAAGTGTTCAAGGGATTTTAGGGTCAGCTCAAGGGTGAGGAGAGCAGCAGTCTAGTTGACCGCAGTAGGAGTGCCACATCTCTCTCTCTGCAGGAACGGAGCTTTGACTGTAAGATCTGTGGGAAGAGCTTCAAGAGGTCATCCACACTGTCCACACACCTGCTCATCCACTCAGACACTCGGCCCTACCCCTGTCAGTACTGTGGCAAGAGGTTCCACCAGAAGTCAGACATGAAGAAACACACCTTCATCCACACTGGTAAGCTGAAGACCCTTGGCTTGTAGGAAACACCCTGAGGTCAACATTACTCATCTTCTCTGATTTCTGGCCCCAGTGAGTGGTGGATGAGGCCTTTCTGATGGAGTTTTTCCCTGCTCTGTGTTAAAGAAAACAAAGGGGTGGGTTCTTTGGTTCATTTATAGTCATAATTCTCCCCAGAGCTGCCTTGATTTGGGGTTGTGTCTGAAAGGCCACTCAGCAGGTCAGCTCACAGTTACTCTATCCTTGGAAAGAACATTTTCCTTTAGGTTAGCAGCTGCTTCCACTGCTGCCTGCTCTGGGTGAAACATGAAGCTCCAGGGTCCTCTTAGAGAGTTGCTCTAAAGCTTACCTAGAGATTGAGGACTTTCTCTAACCACCGGGCCTTTTGTGGGAGGGACTCGTGTGGCCTCTCTGGCTGCATTTTCAGGAGTCTGAGAGCTTATTCTGATTGAAGAGGAACAAATAATGGCAAATATGATTAAACTCTCTGCTAAGCATTTTTAAAATGCATTATTTCATTTTATGCTCACAACAACTCTGAGAGGTAGAGACGACTACTTCTCCCCATTTGAGAGATGAAAAAAGAGGCTAGGTAATCTGTCCAGGGTCATACTGCTAGCAAATGACAGGGCCAGAGCTCAAATTCAGGTCTGACCTCTCAAATATCCACTCTTGACCACTGTTTATTGTATTTTATGTTCAGAGTCATAAGGTTGGTAGACACAGAAAGCTTCTGTTCACTTATTGCCCTTTTCAAAATATCTGCAAGTTCATGCCATAATAATAATTCCTTACCTATTATAATGCTTTACAATTTACAAAGTACTTTCAAATCTATCATTTCATTTGATTCTTATTGCCACTCAATAAAGTAGACGGAGCTGCTCTTACCATCCTGAAACTCAGAGAGAGTGAATGATTTATCAAAAGTCAGACTGAATGAATATTGGAGCCATGTAATGCTCTGGCTTTTAATCCTCAACTCTTTGCCTAACACTTTATGTGCGGGTGGGAGTTTTAATGCCAAGAACACTCTAATAGTCAAAAGACATTTACATGAGACCCAGAATTTCTGAAAATTTTATTGTAGAATATGAATACTGATTTAGAACAAATCACAGTGTATTCTAAACGCCCACCCTTGATGTTTATAAATATACTTCGGTAATGTATATATTTCCATTGAAAACCCAGAAAAGTATTCTACTTTAATCATTCCCTCTTACCTGAAATTTCCATGTAATTCACTCCTTATAAGTAAGGTATTCAGGACACTTATCAAAATGCAACTAGGATCTTGACTGAATAAAACATTAAGCCCTTATCAAACATTTACGTTATACCTAGAATTTGTTTCTCAGATTTGTTTGACCCTAAAGGAATAGAATACATTTTGATGGGTGGTTTCTTATCGAGGAAATCTGAAGCATGAAAACAGAAAAGAGTGTAGCAAAGAGGACAGAGGGTTCCTCAAAAACAAACTTCATCTATTTTATATTTTTTCCAAGGCTGAGCCCTGACTGTAATGCCATGCTGGGCTATTTGGAAATTCATGCCATTTACCTAACAACACATGAGGTAGGGAACAAGACAAAACCTTTTTGTGTTCTCTTATTTATTAATTTGTGGTGAAGAATTGCTGGTATATAAAGAATCATGTTATTAACCTCATAAAATTAAGGAAAAATCAAGACAGAAAAGTATCAGCTACCTTAATACTTTGTGGCCCAATGTGGATTTTTAAAATAAGATATTGAAAAACGTATCCTGCACATGTACCCTGGAACTTAAAAAACAAAGAAAGAAAGAAAAAGAAGAAAGAAAGAAAGAAAGTCAGTCCATGTTAAGATGTTTTTCCAGATATACTTTGCTGTCCTTTAAGAACAAGAAAGAAGACAGGCTCACTGATCCATACAAACTAACACCCACTTGGAAATTCAGATTTGAAAACTTCCTCTGAATTAGAACGGAGTCACACGGTTTTAGGACAGCTTCCTCCCCCTTCCTGTTGAACATCTGCTCTGGGTGTTCATGGCTTATAAAGTCAGGGGAGTCCTCCCGGGGTAGATTCAGCTGGGGAGGGCACGTGGCCTTTGCTCTGTTTCCGTTTAGCAGGAAACCGTTTGAGGCCTTTGGCTGGGAACCCCCACTCAGAAAGTCTCCCTTTCACCTGGTGCACCCATGGGGCTTCCAGGGACTCGCATTGCAGGCTGGGAGTCAGTTCATGTTGCAACACGTCACCCTCCAAGTTGCTTGAAGGCCTTAGACTGTGGTGCAGCCAGCTGCTGCCGAGAGCATGTGGGTCACAGTGGGTCCCCTCTAGCTTTATCATAGGCTCATACTTTCTCCCCTCCTACTCCCATCTCCACAGGTGAGAAGCCTCACAAGTGCCAGGTGTGCGGCAAGGCATTCAGCCAGAGCTCCAACCTCATCACCCACAGCCGCAAACACACAGGCTTCAAGCCCTTTGGCTGTGACCTTTGTGGGAAGGGTTTCCAGAGGAAGGTGGACCTCCGAAGGCACCGGGAGACGCAGCACGGGCTCAAATGAGCACCCTGGCTGGCTGCAAGCAGCAGCTACACAACACTACGGAGGGCAACCTCCCTGCTTGCCACCACTCTGCTCCCTGCTTGCCACCACTCCCTTCTGACTTTCCAGACCCCAAGTCCAGTCTGCAGATCCCACCAGGGTGCTCCTCCTTTGCCTTACCTCCTGGAGCTGCCAGAGGAGATGAGGTACCTTTTCAAAGTGCAGCCGAAAGTGAGAACCAAGCGACTCTCTAGGCTTCAGACACAAATAGGCTCCTCTACACCTGAAGACAAAGGCAAGGTCAAATGGGAACCAGAATAAATCTTAGACCCCACAGTCCCTCCCATTTCCAGCCCTAATCTGCAGACAGGAATGCCCTTCAGGTTTCTTCCCTCCCCCTCTTGACCTACCCCAGATATTTGTGTGGAAGAGGAGGAATCACCATTTACAAGGTGGACAAATGCTAATATTTTTATCTAGAAAGAAGAGTGAGTGTTAACTTTTATTTTTTTTTCTTCTGGGGAGTCTGTTGACTCCTTTCTTCTGGGTGCTGCCTATAAATCTTGGAGGAATCATTTCTCCTCCTCAAAAACTGATTCAGAAACTGACTTGGGGAAGGAATTTAATACTTTGAAGTCATGAGATGCACCATCAAGGCTACCCCCAAGAAGGGGCAGAAGAGAAATTGATGAGAGGGGATTAGAGGTCCTCCCTTCAGGAGGCCTGTGAAAGCCTCATCAGTGGAGTTAAAAGCACGAACAATGCCTGTGGACAAGATGTCATTCATTCACTCAGCAAATGTTCATGGATCACCGGCTACCAAAGTACCAGGCACCATGCTAGGTTTTGGGGAAGAGAGACTGAAGTCACAACCCCTGACTGCTCCTTAAAAGCTAACGGTTGTACCTCCAAGTGGCTGGGTCTTGGAGGCAATTCTGAGAAGACAACACAGAATTATAAACCTTCCCTTTTGACCCTTTTGGATTTTATCAGGTGTAAAAAAGAAAAGTAGCTGAACAGTTACTTCAAAGATATGTGTGTATATTCAGTTTTTTATTGTTAAGCTGATATTTTAAAGATGTCTGAGCTAGCAGGCATGTGGGAATGAAGGCTCTGTCTTCAACTCTTTGATCCTCCATGTGTACCATAGAGGGGGGAAAAAGTGGTATTTTCACTTTGATGAGGTTGGTAAATGTTTTTAGATCTTCTGGTATGCATTATGTTTGTTAATACATATTTATTAGAGTGATGTTTTAAGTTAATAAAGTATTAAGACTATTACAGATTGCCTTTCCTTTAGGCAGGGAATTTGGGGAAGACCTTTGTTTTAGTTTGTGGGGGAAAACTGGCACTAAAGGAAACTGCAGTGGAGTATAAAAGTGAAGCAGATAAGCTAATATCCAGAAGAGTAAAATCCAATTGCTCTGGTTTCCATATACTTTCTCCTTTGCTCCTATACCTCAGAGATACTTCTTTCATAAGAGAAAAACTAGGAGGTGTACAAAACTAAGCTCCTACCATGTAGAGCCCCTGATGGTTCCACAGGCACGTAAGTAAGCTCTTTCCTCTGAAAATGTCAACATATTTTTTTATGGGCCTGAAGACTCCCAGATGAATAAAGAAATCACAGGTTTTAGGTCTAGGTTTTAGTTTTAGTCACAGCTCTGTCACCAACACATCATGTGACTTGGATAAATCTTTTGACTTCCCCAATACTGGTTTCCTTGATCAAGTAATACAGAGACAGCTCTGTCATTCCAGTCCGACCCTGACTGCTCTGATTCTGTGGAGACTGGAAAGGAGAAAAAGTATGAGATTGGTTAGCTGCCTCCCCTAATGCAAGTCACAAATCTAAAGGCACATGAGGATCTGGGTTATTTCTGGTTCTGTCCCACCTGTGGGAGCTTTTTGCATAAGTCAATCCTTTAAGAGAATGAAACCAGAATAAAGTCCTGGCCAAAATCCCTACTACTAGTGCTTTAACACCTCCCAGCCAGACATTCAGGGTATGCGTGCCCCATGCTGAGTACCAGCAGATTGCCCATTTCCAACTCCAATTGATTTCACACGTATGATTGGGCACCCAGTATGTGCTGGGCACTCTTCTAGTGGGTGGAGATATAGCAGTGAGGACAATGTCTTAGGAAGCTTTATGTATTCCTTGTTGAATCCTCAGTTCCCAGAATAATGCCTGGCACACAGTAGGAGATTAATACATATTTACTGAGATGGTAAGTGAATAAACAGAAAATAAACTCCTTCATCCCAGGGGCTGGCTCTGCTCTCTACAGCACAAAGAGAAGAGCGATTGCTTGAGAGCCTGAGAAACAAATAGAATCCACAGGACTTTCTCTCCAGGTTGACGGGGAAGAGGGGCTTGAATGCTGCTTTTCTCCAGTTTCTCCAAATCTCAGTCCTTGGCTGTCCTCACCTGATTTCCAGCACCATGTCTTTCCATGTCAGTTTACTCTCATTCAGAATTTAAATTTGTTTGCTCTGTAATGGAGTTGAAGATAGTTTTTCAGAACTGATGGATGATGAACAGTTGCAGCGTCCAGGAACCACTTCCTAGTGTCCTGGGAGACAAACCTCCCAGTGAATAAAGATGAGAAAAACATCCTTCCCACAGAAGTCACCCTGCGTACTGGTTGGTTATTTCCAACCTGGTTTGAAAAGTGTAGAAGTTGCACTGAGGGGTAAGTAGAACTGATTGAAATCTAGGTGTCTATGCTGTCCTGCTCTTCCCTTATGACATTTAGAACATGTGGACCATTTTCGTTATCCCTGTTTATGCTCTAAGTGAGGAATTGTAATTTTGATGGTAAGTGTATGCCTTTTTTTTTTTTCTGGTAAAAAATGTATCTTGATATCCCCAGTTCAGAATCAAAACAAATTACTGTGCCTGTTACCGTGTGAAATTTGAAGATTGCAAATATCTCTCTTAATGTTATTACTTGACTCCATTAAAAATAGATTGTGAATATTCCATGTCACATTATTCATGAGGCAGGCTCTATGCCTTTTGTCTGCTGGAGTAACAGTAGAAAGGGTAACAAGAGACACAAGAGCACACCTTTGTTTCTTTCACTAAATTTTTAATAACACCTCCAGCTAGCCAGTTGGTGAAGCTCAGCTCTTGCATAAAAGTGGAAAAGCACAGCTATCTCTGAGAAGACCAACTCTTTCAGCAGCTAATTTGAGTTTGCGTTCATCTACACCAGACATGATTAAATTACCTATCAAGTGTGCTGAGCTATCAGGATTCAGGCCACGTAAAAGGTGAATTTCATCTGATTGATTTGAGACACGAATGGAACAATTGAGTTTTAAAAGCCCCGCCTTAATTAAAGGGATAGCAGAGTATCACTCCCCGGCGACTTCTTGACTGCCATTGCCCTTGAAAACTGGGTGGTGATAGTGATTTGACCCAAGTCACTTTGCTGTGTGCCTGTTTGTTCAACCTGATCATTTAACAGAAAGAAATGAACTCAGAGGAAAATCTGGAAGAACTTCACTACTTTTTACTGTGCATTTCTAGAGTACACTGTTTGTTTAAATCTGTGCTGCCATATTATTTCTACAGAAAAAACTTTTTAGGAAGTATATAATACATTTATTTTAACCTCTTTTCCCATTCATTAAGTCAGATTTTAAAAATTAAAAAGTTTAAAGAAATTGCACCCTAAATCCTTCTAGCTTAAAAGCTTATGTTCTTTTTGTATGTGTTCTTTTCTAGTTTGTTCCTTTCTAGTCTTTAGGCACATGTGCGTATATTTATATTTTATAATTTTTGTCTAGATAGCTCTTTATTATATGGACACATACTTAAAATAGATATTTCACAATGAGAATTTGGACAATTTTATGACCAAATTTTATTGAAATCTTAGTATTTTATTGGGAATCTTATCAATCATTGAGAAAAAGTCTTTTCTGAAGTTTAATGTTATTCACTTTTTGAATAAAACATTTTAGGCATACTGGAAATTGCAGAGAATGATAAACATCAGTGTACCCACTGTTCTGCCATATTTACTTCAGATTTTATTTTTGAAATAACATGTTACAGGTATAGTTGAATTTCTTCTGGGATATGTTCCTCTCTAGCCCCATTTCTTTCCTCCTCAGAGCCATCCATTATACCAAAATCAGTATATATAATTTCCATGAATATTTGTATGCCTTTAATTTATGCATAATTCCATAGGTAATATATAATTATATAAGCATATAATATAATTGTATTCATATGTATATATAAATATATAATTATGTAAATATATAATTTAGCATATTTTAACTTCATGTAAATGGATTACAGTTTATACTTCTGCACTTTTCTGGTTTTTTTGCTTAACACGTTGTTTTTGAGATTTATCCATGTTGATATGTGCAGTTTACTTCCTTTATTTTAACCACTGCATATGGAATTCCATGGGATGAATACTTGGTAATTTATTCTCCTGTTGGGAGAGTTTGGGTCATATCCAGTTTTTCCTATTACAAATGATTCTGAAGCAAACAACCTTTTGCGTATCTCTTTTGTGAGGGATTCTTTAGGATGTATTCCTGGGAATGAAAATGCTGGATATTACCAAACTGCTCTTCAAAATGGTTGTTCCAATTTACAGTCTCCCCAACAATGTAGGAGAATTCCTGTTACTCCAAATCTTACCAACACTTGGTATTGTCAAACTTTAAACATGTCTGCCAATCAGATGGATGTGAATGTCATTGTAATTTGCATTTCCTGATTCCTAGTGAGACTGAGTATCTTTTTATAAGTTGATGGGCCTGACAGATTTCCTTTCCTATGTAATGCATCTTCATGTACTTTGTCCATTTTTCTGTTGTTTGTTTGCTTTTTATCAATTTGTTCTTTAAATATATTCTAAACATTCACTGTTATATTAGTTAAATGTGTTGCATACTTATCCCAGTCTATGGTTTGCCTTTTCACTTTGAAGACAGGATTTGTTTGCTTGTTTTGTTTTTGTGTGTAATCAAATGTATTAGTCTTTTCCTCAATGGTTTATGCTTCTTACGTATCAGTTAAGAACTCTTTCCCTAGCTGGTGGTCATTAGATTCCCTATATTTTCTTCTAGAAGTGTTTAAATTTATGCCTGTAACATTAGATTTTCTTTTCTTTTCTTTTCTTTTCTTTTTTTTTTTTTTAGATAGAGCCTTGCTCTGTCGCCCAGGCTGGAGTGTAGTGGCGCAATCTTGGCTCACTGCAACCTCCACCTTCCAGGTTCAAGCGATTCTCCTGCTTCAGCCTCCCAAGTAGCTGAGACTACAGGCATGTGCCACCACACCTGGCTAATTTTTTATTTTTAGTAGAGACAGGGTTTCAACATGTTGGCCAGGCTGGTCTCAAACTCCTGACCTCAGGTAATCCACCCACCTCGGCCTCACAAAGTGCTGGGATTACAGGCGTGAAACATTAGCTTTTTAATCCACTTGTATGTGTATAGTATAAAGTAGGACCTAATTTTAAAAATTGTCTTCACCATTAGTAATGGATAATCAATTATCCCAACATTATGTATTGCTATTTTCATCCTTTTCCCTCTGATTGTAATGCCACCTCTGTCATATGGCAAGTTTCTATTTCTGTATGGTTCTATTTCCAGGCTTGCTGATCTGTTCCACTGGTCATTTTGTCTATCTCTGTGCCAAAGCCATAGTGTCTTAAATAATTTAAGTTATAATAAACTCTTTTTTTTTTTTTTTTTTTTGAGACGGAGTCTTGCTCTGTCACCCAGGCTGGAGTGCAGTGGCCGGATCTCAGCTCACTGCAAGCTCCGCCTCCCGGGTTTACGCCGTTCTCCTGCCTCAGCCTCCCGAGTAGCTGGGACTACAGGCGCCCGCCACCTCGCCCAGCTAGTTTTTTTGTATTTTTTAGTAGAGATGGGGTTTCACCGTGTTAGCCGGGATCGTCTCTCGATCTCCTGGCCTCGTGATCCGCCCGTCTCGGCCTCCCAAAGTGCTGGGATTACAGGCTTGAGCCACCGCGCCCGGCCAAGTTATAATAAACTCTTAATAGCTAGTAGGGAAGGCTGCCTTGTGACCTGCTTCATCCTCTTCAGGAATATCCTGGCTACCTTTGGCCCTTCGTTCTTGCATGTGAAAAACTCTGTTGGAATTTTGGTTTGTATTACATTTATTATTTAATTTGGAGAGAACTGAAATTATTTTGCTATTGATTCTTCCTATACATAAATATGGTATATTGATTACTTATTTAATCTTCTTTTATGTCTTTCAATAACACTTTGTC